AGAGTATAAAATCGAAGCACAATAATCAAAGTGTGGTTGTATAATTGTTTTATAGACTAATATCTTTGTGTTTAAAGACAGATGCTTTGAAATTCTAGAGTAAAAATATAGTTTTTTCGAAATTTTCTTATGTATGTATTGAAAATGTTCTTCAAATGTGAGATTGCAGTCCAGTTGAAACCCTAAGTATTTTACAGTATTATTCACTTTTATATTTTCATCTGAAGGGAACTGTTGATAAGATTCAATATAGCATGTCCAGCAGTTTCAAAAATTTGTTTAACAATTTTGACATTTAGCATTTCATATGTGTAACATTTATTGTCTAATGAAGCAATAATATCACGTAATTCTCCTAATGAAATCATTTTGAATTTAGTTACAGGTAAGTAAAGGTTAGAATCGCAATAATACCACACTTTATCACTTTGAATGCTCTCGATTATCTGGTTAATACTGTAATGAATCTGAAGCCGGCCCTGACCGGTGTCCCTGTCAGCCAACGCATGACGCATACCGCGAAAACTCCGGATGGGTCCCGAAATCCGCAGAGGGATCCGGAACGTACGTTGACGATATAAAAACGTCGCTATTCGTCCCGAAGAGGAGTCTGTACCAAGAAAGCGATTTGAGCGGTTAACAAACGGTGAAGATAAATTAAGCGTTAGTTACTGAGTGGGGTAAATAAATTAGTTGTGATAGTGAAGTATTGTTAAAATAAATTTGTTTAAGACAGTTAATTCTTTAATTCGTTACAATACTATTAACATAATAATTGTTGAAATGTTCAACTAAGGATGTCTCTTCCTTGACAATGTACGAGTCTCCATTATAATCAAATTGTACCTGACTGAATGAGTTTTCATTACTACTTTTTACAAGGACTTTTAATGTTTTCCACATCATCTGAGAATTGTTTCTATATCTGTCAATTTTATTCCACATGTTCACAACTTCATTTCTGAGAATTTTAAAGCTATCCCATTTGAGTACTTTTTCAGTTGGTGAAGATTCAATATATGATATATAGGCTTTATCTCTTTCCTTGATTTTACTATTTACTTCATTATCAAACCATGTCACACTATTTTTAAATTGACATATTCTTACAGGTGCTGCACAAGTTGATAACTGCAGAACAATTATCAATGATTTCTTGATATATAAAATTTACATCTATTGAACTCAATGCCCATTCGCGAGAAATCAAATTAGTTTTTATTTTATCAAGATTACTCTCACAAAAATTTCTATATTTTTTTGTAATATTGTTTTGTTTCAATGGCTTTAATTGGAAGTTGACTGATATTATCATATGATCTGTGATATTGGAGGATAAGTGAACGTTGGTTATAATATCATTTTGATTTGATATAACATAATCAATTAATGTTTCAGATTCTAATGTGATACGTGTTGGTTCGGTTACAAATTGCTTCAATCCATGTGTTGAGAATAAAGTTTATTTACATAGAATGCATTTTATGAGAAATTCAAATTAAAATCTCCCGCTAGTAAAAAACAATTATTTGCTAACATAATGATCTCTTCAAGATGTTCCAAAAAATAGTATCGGAACTCGATGGGGAATGATATAAACAACCAATAAACCATTTTGAAGATTTGAAATCAATTTTTAGGATTGTACACCAAAAATTACCATCGAGCACAAACGATTTATAACTAGAAAAATTAATATTGAGTCACAACGCATACAATTATACTGATCCATTATTATTTCCGAATCTTCAATATCCAGTGTCGTCCTAGCTTCATTTAGCAGTAATATACAGTGCTAGTCAAAAGTCCCCTCCCCCCCTCGTATCTTTGGAACGGGTATACTTATAATAATGAAATTTGGAGGGTGGAAATAAACGGATGTAGGCTTCTTAACTGGTCATAACAGGTGACGCAATAGTCATAAATGACGTCACAAGGCCACTGTGACCAAAAATTTTAAAT